GTAACAAGTGTAAATCAACAAAATACTCTGATAGATTCTGTGAAAGTTGCATTAGTTTACAATTACAGAGTCTTTTTAGCACTTGGACATCTGAAAATGACATAATTGATGATTTTATTCAACAATGTCAAATGAAATCATCTTTGCCAAATTATATTTTAGAATGGATACCTTTTGATCAATCCACAAATGTTAAAAAATTAACTGAAGGTGGATTTAGTTCAATTTATGCTGCCACATGGACAAGGAGAGAAATATTTGATTATGATGAAAATAAAAAGGAATTTATTTATGGTGGAACTGTTGGTGTAGCATTAAAATGTTTAAACAATTCAAGTAATCCAGGAAAAGCATTTTTTAATGAGGTAACTCATTTTTTTTAATACCAAAATAAATAATAATATTATATTGCGAGTGTGCAACCTGAGTTTCCCAATTAATAGGTTATTTATAGCTCAACACACAGCCTACTCGCTGACTTACGGTCAAAGATTAATAATAAAAATAACTTTATCTTCCTGGATAAAAGGGTCCCTAGGTTCTATGTAAATGATTATATCCCAAAGGCGTCCCCTTGAGATGTATCTGAATAATTAAAAGGGTTCCCAACTAATAATTAAAGGTTGGCCAGACCATTAACCATTAGAAGGGCTGGGGGGTCAACCACACTGGGTTTATTAGTTACTTACAGTCAAAGACTATGTTATGTAAGGTTATATATTTATTAAGAGTTATTATTATGTTAATGTTATCAAGGTTGTTATTAACAATACTAACAATTGATTTATTTTTATTGTCCTTTTAACTTGGTCTAAAGCCAAGTGTATTTATACCTCTTGGGGCAGTACAAATAATGTGATATGTGCTACTCTACTCTCCAATAATATGCTTATCAACTAATTATTAATTCTAAATAAATATTTACATCAGATGAGAAGGTTAATAAATATTAATATAGAAATATGAATAGGAATAGTCTTTCATATGACACTGCGCAATCTGCGGCGTAGCCGTTACAATAATATATTTAGCGCATCACATGACTTCCGTAGTAAGTTCGTTCTAATTGGTCAATATTAGCCGGGTAATTGATAGGTCCAAGATTTACTATCTCACAATATAATATTAACTGGTTATTATATATTTAATTACAGGCAATGAATTATTGTAAAATTAAATCACCACTGATTGTTTCATGTTTTGGTATAACTAAATTCCCAGACAATGGAAACTATATGATGGTTCTTAATTACCATGAAGATGGAAATTTAAGGGATTATTTACAACAAAATCATTCAAATTTAACATTAAAAGATAGAATTACAATATATAGATATTTATGTGAGGCATTATATCGTATACATGGAAAAGATTTAATCCATTGTGATTTACATAGTGGTAATATATTATTACAAGGTGGTAATTGTTATATTACAGATTTAGGATTATGTGGGCCAGTTGATGAAAAATCACCAAATAAAATATATGGAATTATATCATATGTTGCACCTGAACTGCTTAGAGGCAAAATTAATGCAAAGAAACAGACATTTATAGTGTTGGGATGCTTATGTGGGAAATATTTGCAGGCTATCCACCATTTGATGATAGAAGTCATAATTACCATTTAATATTTGACATATGTGAAGGTTTATGACCACCAATGTTACCTGGAATGCCTGTTGATTATCCACACATGATGCAAAGATGTTGGGATGTGGATCCATCTAAAAGGCCAGATATTGTAGAGCTTTTTGACTTTGCTAAAAATAAACTAGAAGAAATTTTTAAAAATGAAAGTTTGAAAAATAATAACAACAATAGCTTAATAAAAAGATTATTCAAATTTTCTAAAACTAAAAACCATGAAATTGATTTTAATAATGGTAGCAGCAGTGGTGGTGTTAGTAATAACAATTCACAGCAAGTACACAAACCACACCCAGATACATATCACACAAGTAGAATATTAGAAGATGAAATTACTAAATCAAAAAGCTTAAAAGATTATACAAGTAACAATAGTTCATTAAATAATCTTGATATCAGCTCTTTTCTCTCAAGTGTCGATTTTAACAAAAGTAAATAAATTAATTAAATTATTAATTAATTAAGATTTACTATCCATTAATTATTGCTAACAAGATTTTTATTTAATTAACAAGCATTAGATTCTAATAATAATTGTAAAGAAAAAAATGTTGGAAGGATTAATGAGGTTGATGAAATTGGTGAATTATCAATAGATGATTAATCTAATCTCTGCTATAAAGTTATTCATTATATATTCATTTATCTTTTTATAATCTTCTCATTTTGTTTATGAAATATTTTTTAAAATAATAAAATTGTTTTTGCAACCATTAATGAAAAATTAATTAGCTCTAGAATTAAATGTCACCAAGTTATCTTGTAATATAGATGTTGATGTAATTCAAATACTCTGAATCATTCATTTGATTTGAATCAACATCGTTCGAATAACAGGAGAGACCGTCCTATATAAGGAATGGATTTTCACAATTGATTTCAATTTTTTTTATACAGTTTAAAATAACAGGAGAGACCGTTCTGGGAACACAAAATTTAACCCATGCAATTTGTTGATTGACCAATTAAAACCGTGAATTTGATAACGTAGAAATAAATATGGGTTTGATTCATTTGTCAACAATCACTCCACCAACAATTGTTTCATTAATGAATTTAAGAAGTTGGAAGCAACCATGTGACAAACCATTGAAATAGTCTAATAAATTAAATTGTACTACTCGAAAATGTATCTAAAGGGTTGGTTTTTGACTTGGTCAAAGAATAACCCTCTTCCTAACTTTTCTTTTGGCCATATCTCTCAATATAATCAAAATAACGAATGTTGACAAAGTGATTGTAAACATAACAAATTTAAGATACATGATTGAGACAAAACATGAACAATGTATTAGTATGAAAAATCAAACAAATTTATTTAATAAAAACAAAATTTACAACCCAAAAAAATTTTTTGCATGTTCTAATAAAATTTCCATTGTTGCTGTCATCTGTTGCTGATCCAACATTACCTGGATCGTCACCAACTGTATTTTCATTATTTTTGATAAATTCATTTTCATTTAATATTTTTCATCATACTTTCTTTTAGTGTGTTGACATTTTTTTTTTATTTTGACTTGAAGATAGTCCATGATATCAAACATTTAGATTGACACATTTGTAGACAATGATTGTGATAACTACAATTAAATTAGTATAATTAGTGTAATGAACAATGTATTAGTATGAAAAATCAAACAAATTTATTTAATAAAAACAAAATTTACAACCCAAAAAAATTTTTTGCATGTTCTAATAAAATTTCCATTGTTGCTGTCATCTGTTGCTGATCCAACATTACCTGGATCGTCACCAACTGTATTTTCATTATTTTTGATAAATTCATTTTCATTTAATATTTTTCATCATACTTTCTTTTAGTGTGTTGACATTTTTTTTTTGATTTCAACTTGAAGATATCAAACTTTTAGATTGACACCTTTGTAGACAATAATTGTGATAACATGAGTACACTACAATTATTCAAATTAGTATAGTTGGTGTAATCACAATATACATAATTGCAAAAAATGTTTTCTTAGAAGTAACAAAGTTTTAGTAATTAAAGGATACTGATTTTGTGCTTGATATACTGGTAGTATCATATTGTCTCTGGATGTGAATCCATGATAATTTTTAACATTCAACAAGAATGTATTTTTTGAATATATTCTCTACATATTTCTCATGTTCATCTGCAACTTGCTTCTTTTTATGATCTACTGCTCTTGATGTTGTAGTTGCTCCAAGTCTTGTATCTACCAAGTCTAAATAGAATGCAAGGTCAAACTTAAAAGAGTTAATTTTTGTATTATTTAATAAAGCAAGAAGATAACACATGAACACCACCATTAATCTCTTCATATGGTCCATTATTTGTTCATTACATTCAAATGGCCGAGCTGCTAAATAGAGTTGGTCAAAAAACCCCTTCAAGCTTGGTTCTATTTCTTGGAGCAATCTTCATATTTCATCAAAATTGTATATAGGACCTTGATGGCTCTAGTGAAATCAATCTTTTCACCTACCTCTCCCTCTTCCCCTCCTGCATCTGTGGTTTTTACTCTCCTATGTTCTCTTTTTAAAAGATTTTCATATAACAAATGTTACATAAAACAACACGTTCCTTTCACTAAGTTTTTGTTCTCAGCTTCTTTCCATTTATTGCCTTTCAGTTGACCAAATTTAGCCGATTTAATGGTTTTACATTCTGTGCAATGTTTAATTTCAGACATTTTTTCAAGTAAATCATATTATGAAAGTTGTGGGATTCAAAGGGATTCAAAAGATATGATAACAACAAAATGTAAAACTTCAAATTTGTGTAATTATTTACACATGATTTATTGCAAGAATGGGCTACATAATACCCTTGTAAAAGTATTTTAAACTGAAAAAAAATTGAAATCAATTGTGAAAATCCATTTCTTATATAGGATAGTCTCTCCTGTTATTATACATAGTGATGGGAATTTTTAACCCTACACTTAATAACTCCAAGTTATTAATAGTTAATAACCACTTATTAACTATTGCACTCTGAGTGAGAGTTATTAAT